TGTACCTGAAGCCCACCTCCTGGACTTTTCAGCCATGGGCAACAAGAAACACTCCTTTTCCTTAGGCTTTTTTGAGTTGGTTTTCGTCAGTTGAGGCCAGACCACAGCAACTGCATCCCTGGTTCTCCTGTCCTCTCTCTCCTTCCTGCCACCTGGGCCATGGGCCCAATCCAGCCTGGTGCCTAAAGGCAGGGAAGTCAGACTCAGCTTTTATTCCAAAGCGGTGACCTTGGGAGACATGCTGATCACACCTGGGCCCTGAGCTCATCAGGATGCACCCGGAGCTGGCTCAGAATGTCACCAGGAAAAGAAAAAAAAGAGGACAAGGAACAAAGAAAGAAAAATCTGCATTCCCATATTCCAGTGAGCTCTTGCAGAAACAGGGAAGGCAAACAGAGGTTCCTCTAAAGAGGTGTCATGGCACCAGAGCCAGAATGCTGACAAGCGCTCCAGCAAATGTGCCTTGGCCATAAGAGCAGGAGAGTCGCCCGGCAGCGGGCCACCGCGGCTCCACTCCCCTCGTTATTTCTCGTTAGGGGGCCGCGTCCCGTGCAGCAGGGTAGGGCTCCACGGGCGCCGGTGCTCCAGTGAAGGAGAGATTTCCCAGCTCAGTGGGGCAGCTGGAGGCGGAGCCCGCTGCCCCATGACCGTGACCGTGACCACGGGCGACCAGGACAGCGTCCTGCTGCTCAGACGCCGGCACGCACAGCTGCGTCTCCCCAGCCCAGGGCTCCTCTGGCCCCAGACCCAGAAGAGGTGAGCGGGCTGCTCCTGGGCCAGGCCTCGGACTCCAGGGCCAGGGCTGGTCCTGGGGGCCTGATGACCTCTCCCCTAGGAGGTCCAATGGGCCACATCATCTATCTCAACACGCTCAAATCCCCCAACCTGCTCCTCCCACAGACCCCCAGCTCATTCGTGTCAGCGCCACCCTCGAGGCATTTGAGCCAAAACCCTGGAGTCAGCCCTGACCCCGACGTCTTTCCCTCACACAGCTCCTGTCGGCTTCAACCCAGAATCTGCCCGGGTCTCCCCTCCCCCACTGCCACCGTCGTCCTCGCCTGGAGCCTAGCAGCAGCCTCCCAACTGGCCTCTCGGCTCTGCCCTCGCCCTGCTGGAGATTGTTCTGCCCTGAAGCAGGGAGGCCTGTCTCACTGTGTCTCAAAACCCTCCCGGGCCTCCCTCAGCGTCTGCACAGGGCGTGAGGCATCACATCTGCCCTCCCCGGGCCCCGCCCCCGCGGCCGCCACAGACGCACGCGCCCCCCCACCCACTTTGTCCTCTGCTTCCGCGGTCCCCTCTGCCCGGAACGCTGCTCCCTCCAGATCTCCACCTGGCTGCCTCCTGGAGATCTTGGATCGAATCCCTGGCCATCCTTCCAGGACCGGAACGCAGCCTGTGTCAACTTGGGTCCCCCAGGAAGCAGACGCGGAGACAGGGGCCAAGGTCTAGAGGTTGGTGGGGACATCTGTGAAAGACAAAGGGAGCAGGTGAAGAGCGTTCAGCCCGCAGTGCGGGCCTGACACGTGTGCAGGGAGAAGGTAGGTAGGAAGGGGGAGCCCCCTGGGAAAGTCTCAGCCCCCCACGGGGGTCCCAGAGCAGACACTGCACACAGAGGAGTCCCACACAACAGCTGCCAACCAGATGCCCGGGAAGAGGCTGCTCTCAGCTGGGGCGGTCACCGGCCCTCCTGCCAGCAAGTGCCCTGTGGAGGGGCCTCTGAGCAGCACACGTCTGTGCTGCAGGTTCTCTGCTCCATGTGGCAGGAGGGAGGTGAGTGAGGCCCCGCCGCTGCAGCGGGTCTCGGGGCCCCTCCACTCTCCAGCCTACAGCCCTCATCAGCTGTCACCCCTGCAGATCTTGGGGGCTGAATGAACGAATCAACTGATCAATCAGCAGATGAGCTATCTCCTGTGTGAGGGGTGTGCAGGGGATCTGATTTCACTAATCTAGGGCTTACATGATTGGGGCATTGTTTCCTTCTGGGACTGGACATTTTGAACCCCAAATGCTGGCTGTTTTGACAAATGGAGAAACTCGGCCCCCAGGCCATGCTCTTTGGGGGTGTCCAGGTGAGATGAGAATAAGGGCCCATGTCCCCCAACGCTCAGCCAGGCTTTCCTAGGGTCTTGGGGCGTTCCCTGCCATCCTGGGGCCTGAATACCCACTCCTTGAGACAGAGACCTCAGGGCAAGATGCCCTGTGGACAGTCACATGGGGACCTGCCTCATTCACCTCAAACTGCCTTAGCCAAGTTGGGCCCAGCCCAGGGACTCTAGGCTCCTGTCCCGACAAGGTTAAGGCCCCAGGAGTTAGTACATTTGCAAGGTCAGGGGCCTTGATCTCAGGGCTGGGCCAGGAATGTAACCATTAAGAGAGGGGCCTCTGGCCTTGTGTGACCTTGGGCAGGTAGCTTCCTGGGCTCTGTGCAGGCTGCTGGTCCTACCCACATTGTATGCTGAATTCGGGGTGGGGGTGGGGGCTGATGAGGTCATGCATGTTAAGTGCCAACAGGGGGCGCTCACCACCCGTGGCCATGGCCATCCTCAAACCTCTGGGCCAGCTGTGGTCCTCCTCCTGATGGCCTCCATTTCAAGAGGAAGGTCTCCACAATCAGAGAAATTTGGTAACTCTCCCAAGTCACCCAAGTGCCAGGGTTTGAACTGAGTCCATCCCCTGCATCCCCCGCTCTAGCTGCTGTGGGGTGAGAGACTGCCAAGGAAAGCTCGCGAACACTAAAGTCCACAAGGACAACCGGGCCCCAGCTTGACTAAGACTTTAAAGGGGCTGCCCTCTGCTCAGACTTCCCTCCACCCTGGACAGGAACTGAGGATGGGAGGGGGCAACCAGCCAGTGAGGAGACAGCCAGGCCCCCCCCCCACTCCCCATCCAACTCCATCTCCGGAGGCCTGGGATGGGGTGGGGGTGCGCCCTTGAAGCACTGACTGGCCAGAGCCGGCCTTGGGGTGCCTGTGCAGGAGCAGGCTCTGGCGGGGTCCAGGTGGCAGGGAGCTTGCTGGCGAGCACAGAGGACCCAGCACCAGAGATGCAGGAAGGCTTGGATGGTGGAAGCGATGGGGTCCAACGGCACCATGCTGGACCCCAGCAGCTCTCCACCTTGGCTCGTCTAACCACCAACTGGTGTCTGGTCCTGGCACAGCCCTGCCCACCATGCAAGTTGGGGAGCTGGGGGAGCCTGCCCGAGGAGCAGGGCTTGCTGGTGGAAAGGGTACAGCCAGCTACTCAGAGAGGGCTTCTGGGAGGGGAAGCTGGAGCCCCACACCTCTCCCCCAGCGCAAGCCGCGAGAAGCCATAGAACCATGGATCCCCTGGGACTGGGGTGGGGGGCTGGGGTCTCCTCCCTGCAATCAGCCCTGAGGAGGGGTAGGGGAACCCAGCACCCCTCCCTCACTCCCCGAAGTTTCTAAAGCACCTCGGGGCTAGGGGGAGCGGTGGGTCCCAGCGTGATCAGGAAGCTGCTGGAAGTGCGGGTCCCTGTGTGCCAGCGCCTGGGCCCCCCCTGCAGCCCCCACCCGCGCACGCAGACGCGCACTTTTCTCTCCTCTTTGAGGCTTTGGCAGATGTGCGCTGCTGGCGACAGAGCAGCGCCGCTGCTTCCCTCTCCCTCGGGCGTTGTTCCCTCGCTGCCTTGGTCTGATGTGTGCGCGTCAAACTGCCGTTCGTGGGTCCCCAGCCTGACGCTGGGCGGCTGCTTGCCCGGTCTGTGGGAGTCTGTGAGTCTGCATGTGGGCGCGTCCGCCTGCCTCGCTGTGTGTGCCTCGTCCTTGACCCAGCCTAGCTGAGCGCTCGTGCCTGGGCGGAGGGGGAGCTCCCTCCCGCCGTCTCTCCTCCTCCCAAACCCCCCGCAGGCGCTAACGCGGCGCGCCGCCCCGGCTGCGCCCCGAGCGCGGTGACCTCGCCGGTCCCTGAAGCACTGACCGCCCCACTGCGCTGTCCACCGGGGGGACCCGTGGCTGGGTTCCGAGCGGATGGTCGCTCTCCCTTCCAACTAGGGCCGCCTGAGCCCAGGGTGGGCACGCTCCCCTCCCAGCTGGGTCCGCTGGGTCCCCATTTTCCCTTATGTAACTCCACATCTGTCTGCGCCTCGCAGGTCACCCTGGACGCTGCGTTGGGTCCTGCCCACGGGGAGACTCAGATTCAGAGTCGAGTCCCACGCATACGGGGGGCGGAGCGAACCCCTGGCTCGGGCACGGCTATCGGAGACCTCTCCTATCCTTTCTCCTCGGGAGGTTCCTTTCTCCGAGAACTGCTTGCCCGAAGCGTGAAACGAGGAGGGGTCCCGTGGGGCAAGTTCCCCCGAGCGCGGGCGCAGGTGTTTCCCCTCACCCGCCCTCCAGATCCCCACAGGCGCCCCGGCTCCCGACGAGGGCCGGCCAGGGGTCACCGGGGCCGAGGGCACGGGGCAGGGCGCGCGGTCCAGAGGCTGGCTCCTGTGTGCAAGCGCAGGTCGAACGCAGGCGAGCCCCCAGCTCCAGCGCCCGCCGTGCCGGGCTCCCCGCCAGCCGCGGTGCACACTCGGGCCGGGGCTCCAGCTGCCCGGCGGGCACGCGGCGCTGTCCGTGGTGCTGCCGGCGCCGGGCGGGGCGGGGGCGGGGCGAGGGCGGCAGCCAATGGCGGGGGCGCTGAGCGGGGCGCGTGGGGCAGCGGGCTGGGCCCGGGGCTTACTCTGCTGCTCTCGGCACTCGGGGCGCACGGACGCTCCGCCGGCGGCTCGGGCTCCAGCTCCGCTCCGGGTCCGCTCGTGCTGCAGCGGTCGTGCCGCTGGCCCGATTCGGCTCAGATTCCGGGCCGGGCCCCCTCGGCGCCGCCCGCCCCGGCCGCGGTCTCGGCGCCCGCGGACCATGCGCCGGGTACCCCCCGGGGAGCCCGGCCGGGCCGAAAGCCCGCAAAGACCAGGCTCCCGGGCCGGGATCCCTCCCGGCTGCCCGGCCGACGATCCGCGCCCTGCCCTGCGCCCCGGCGCCGCGTGAGCCGGCGGGTCCATGGAGCGCTCCCCGCCCGACGGACCGCTGAGCGCGTCGGGGGCGCTGGCAGGCGAGGCGGCGGCGGCGGCGGGCGGAGCGCGCGGCTTCTCCGCCGCCTGGCCCGCGGTGCTGGCGGCGCTCATGGCGCTGCTCATCGTGGCCACGGTGCTGGGCAACGCGCCTTCGTGGCCGATTCGAGCCTCCGCACGCAGAACAGCTTCTTTCTGCTCAAACTCGCCATCTCCGACTTCCTCGTGGGTAAAGCCCCCAGCCCCCGCCCGAGCCCAGGGGCGCCCTGCCGGGTCGGGCCAGCGGGGATTGGAACGCGGACCTAGGGTGCCTTTGCCTCGGGGACACGCCCCGCTAAGGGGTCCGGCCTGGGGAGGGGGCAGCCGGGACTCGTGGGGAGGCGGGCGCAGGCGAGGTTCCTTGCTTCCCCAGCCGCGGGACTCGGGCTGGGGAAGGATGTCCCCGGGGAAGGGGTCCTAGCCAGCGGGCGCTCGGCCAGGCGCAAGGCGCTGCGGCCGCGGTGCAGCGGGGGCTCTTGCACCGTAGCTAAACAAAGGCTGCAGAGGACTCAGGACACGGGGAGGGCGCTGAGGGGGGGGTGGGTTTGGGGAAGGGGACATGGAGGGGAGATTTTTAGAGCCACGTTGGGGGAGGAGGCCATGGGGAAGGCGGGCGGGGTTGGGGGGAGAGGCTCTGAGGAGTGCGCTCTCACGTGTCTGTGCGCTGCTGCAGGCTGTGGGGCGGGGCGCAAGGAGGGGGCCGGAGCACCAGACACCTGTTGGGGCTGAGACAGGCGTCTGCCAGACGCTCAGAGCGGGGTTGGCGGTGGGAGCCACCCGCGCCCACGTGGCAGCAGTCAAGTGCCCTTTGAGTCCGGAGAAAGGCTTTCTCGGTTTCTGAGCTGATGAGGAAGAGCCAGAATAGGAGCTTGCGATCCAGCGGGGCCAGAGAGGGAGGAAATTCTCTTTCTTCCTCTGGGCACTGGGAGGGCTGGGCAGAAGCCCAGGAATGACCAGACCAAGGCTCTGGGGCTCGTCGCTCCCAGAGGTCCCCACACCTGGATCTTCCTCCCGCCCCCAAGTCCAGGGGACCCAGTGGGACCGTGGGCCGGGCAAGGGTTGAAGGCCAGGTGCAGTGCAAAGAGTGTGCCTATGAAGGAGGCGGAGGGAGGATTGCTGGTCCCAGAAGGGCCACCAAGTGACCCTAGGTCCTGCCTGTCTCTCGGCTGGTGGGGGGGGGTCTGACCCCTGCCCAGCCACGGCCCACCACGGCCCTCCTCTCCCACAGGGGCATTCTGCATCCCACTGTACGTGCCCTACGTGCTGACTGGCCGCTGGCCCTTTGGCCGGGGCCTCTGCAAGCTGTGGCTGGTGGTGGACAACCTGCTCTGCACCTCCTCTGTCTTCAATATCGTGCTCATCAGCTATGACCGCTTCCTGTCGGTCACCCGAGCCGTGAGTCTGGGACGTGGGTGCCCATGTTCACTCCTAGGGGGAGGGGTGGTCAGGAGCGGTCAGGAGACGCGCCCGGCAGGGGGTACGGCCACTTCTGAGTGGGCAGTGCTGGATGGGCTTGATCCCCACTGGCCTCACACCTGACACATCGGGCACTCTATGGCCAGCCGCCCACTCGGTAGCCATTTGCTGCCAGTAGGACCGGTCCTGGTTCAGGCAGGAGGCACAGTGTGGACCTGAAGGAAGGGGGTCACTTCAGCCTCCACCCTGGAGCAGGTCCAACGTCCCTGGAACTAAGGGAGGATCTGGGCCAGGGGCCCTTGGTGGTACCTCCCCACAGGTGTGCGTGCCTCGGGAAGACAGGCTCCACGAGCTTCCCTGGGCGTGGTGGCCACCATGAGTTAGGGGCCCTGGGCTGCCTGGACTTCCCACGTCGGTGTCCTGTGGGCGCCAGGCTGGCGGCACTGAAGCAGAGGTCACTCCAGTGCAGTCTCATTTTCTCCCTGATGGCTCCATCAGGCACCCCGGGACCCTCCGCTGGGGACCACGTGTGTCCTAGTCCAGGGAGGCAGTGGCACAGAGTGCAGAGAGCATGGGTTTTGAGCCAGCTCTGCCCCTTGAGCCGACCCACCCGTGTTCTTTCCTGCCCTGCCTGAGCCATCAAGAAAGTGGGGATCACGCTGGAGCAGTTGTGAAGATTAAATAAGATGGTATCGAAAGGTGCCGAGCAGAGAGCCTGGCACACGGCAGGTACTCAGTAGATCGGACAGTGACGTGGCCCCCCGGGGGAGCGCACAGCTGAGGGGGCGACGGCAGACAGGCAGCCCGGCACAAAGTGAAGGTTCTGGGGGAGGTTCCGAGGCCATAGGAGAGTGTGACAGGGCCTCAGCCTGCCCGGGATTCATGGGGCGAGGGGAGGAAAAGGGAAAAGCATCACTGCCGGGGAAGGCGTGCACAGAGGCCCAGAGGCTGCTGGGAGCTGCCAGCTGCAGCAGCCGACCTGGGCTCAGTCCCCTTGCCTCCTGACCCAGCGTGTCCCACCGCAGGTCTCCTACCGGGCCCAGCAGGGCGACACGCGGCAGGCAGTGAGGAAGATGGTGCTGGTGTGGATGCCGGCCTTCCTGTGCTGCGGACCCGCCGTCCTCAGCTGGGAGCACCCGTCGGGGGCAGCTCCTCGTCACGGCCTCCGCCCTCGAGCTCGTCACGCCCTTCCTCAGCGTCACCTTCTTCAACCTCAGCATCTACCTGAACATCCAGAGACGCGCCCGTGTCCGGCTGGACGGGGCACACGCGAGGCGGCGGCCTC